CGAAAAGTTGGTTGATAAAAATGTTATAATGGACGGTTTTGTAGGAATATATGATGTACTATAGTCCGTATTTATATAACTGATAATACAATGACAACGATAGTATTATTATAATTATTCGGGTCCGGATTTAATTGTCTTAAAAACTATCAAACAGTGAAAAAATAACCGAAAAATAGCTTAAAGTGTCAAGAAAATGTGATATGAACACCATTACAAATACTAAAAAATTTTCTAAAAATGTGCAAACTAAAAGTGTCACTTGTGAAGTTTATGTTACATGATTCGAATTGTGTACGTGCACTCAAAAAGCATTATTGTTTTAGATCGCCCAGAAAAAAAAAAAAAAAATGATTTTTGCACTGAAATCCGGGTCGTATTTATTATATTATCATGTTCTTTCGACGGTACATTATTATAGTGGGCTTCAAATGTTTTTACCGACGAGTGAAGTCGTAAAAAAACAAATAACTCTCGGTTTACAATATGCAAAAAAGAAATAAAAAACTCAATACAGCAAAGAGATCTTCGGGGGCGTAGTCAAAATCGATAAAAGTATTATTGTTGAAAAGGAGCTAATCGAGGCAATAATAATATTTTATGACGACGACGTGGATGTGCGAATCGAAAAACGTGAACGTTGAAATTCGTTCGATTGCAAAAAATAATAATAGAAAAAAAAAAACACAAAATGATTTCAACGTTTCGTACATAAATATATATATTTTTTTATCTTATATCGTTCAGCGTAAACCGCGGTCTCGAGTACTCGACGGATCGCTCGTACATAAAATAACAACAATAAAAATAAAAAATAAAATATAAAAACGGGCCCGAAAAACTACCGGGTTATTGGCAATAATATAAATTCAATATTCATTCTATACAAACCGCACCCACTAGCTATAGGGATTGTGTCAGCGTCAACCTGTACCCGTAGCCAGGAAAAATGTTCTGAGTGGACACTTAATTTTTTTATTTAGTTTTTGTTAAACTAGAATACTTATCGCATACTTTTTTATGGCTCCCTTATTCCCTCATCGTTTATTATGTATACCCCCCGTAGTTTTACAACGTAAAATTAAAACAAAATGTGTAACCTTGTTGTAAGAGTTGCTGTGCTTAGCGAATTGCAATAGGGGAACACGGCCGATGTCCCTACTATCGAATTTTACAGAAGGCGCGAAAACCGGAAAGGCAAGACTGAGAAGGAGCTCGACGTACAACTGAATAAATAATGTCACTATCCGCCTTTTTAAAAAATTAATCAATTCGATATTTTCCAAAAATATAATAATATAACGCTGAAAAAAAAAAAATAATAATAATAAAACAAATACGTGTTATACGGTGTGAAATACGCTTTGATATACGATAAAATGTTTTAAAATAATACGCAAGTACGCGGAATGAAAATACAAAAAAAAAACGAATAATAATGATAATGTCACGTATGAAAAAAAAAATATTATCAATTATGCAGAGTGTTCCAAGGAGATCTGAAATTCGCAACAACTATTGTTCTGTTGAATATTTTTAAGTGTTTTGCTTGTAACAATTACCAAAGCCATACACTAAATGATTCCTCTATTTTATAAATATTGTTTTAAATCTAATAATGAATAGTTACATTTTGTTTTACAAAATCCAAGACAGTCGTTTTTGCATTTTGTTAGAAAATGTTTAAATGTCACAAATATTCACTGACGATGAATATATTAATTTAAGCGCAAGATTTGTCGAAAATTACAAAAACCATTAACGAAATTATTGTTCATGGAGAAATTATTGGTAAATCGGTCGGTATTATATTTTAGCGGTGACAATGAATACAATTTTCGTAAAATTTATGGATTTTTATAATATTCACGGTAGTAAAAATTTGTATCACCAACATTTTGTTTCAAAATATATCTATAAAATGGTTATCTTGAATTTTGTAAACGATAATTTTTTTTTTTTTTTTTTAAATTCTCAAACAAACATAAAATATCAGAATTCTAACACAAGACTTTAGTCATTTTTCCAAAAAAGAAATACTTGAAAATATTGACCAGAAAAAAAATTATTGCATTTGTCAAACCTGTATTATATTAATTTTTGGAATAATTATAGTCCGTACGTTAGATTTTTGGAAATAAATCAACTTTTTTTTCAACTTATAATTATTTTCAATTTATTTATAAACACATATTTTCTGGCAACGGACCTTCATACACCAAGCCACAGATGTATTTAATTATTTGATTCGAATAACGCGACGAACGTGTTATTCATCTGGTGCAGTTGTTGTGTGATAATAAAATTAGCATAATGTGTATTATATTGCAGTAACGTCAGCGGCGCAAGTATTTAGGATTTTGCAAAGGACGGAGATATTGATTTTCAAAATCGTATTGCGTTGCATAACGCGTTTACCTAGACTAGAAAAAAAAAAAAAAAAAATTAAAAAATCGATTTTAAACTGTAGATATTTCCGCAAGTATAACCATTGATTATCCCCAATGGTATATTTGCGTATAATTATATTGTTCGATCATATATCGATCGCATAAACCGTAAGACAGTATAGACGCGCGTTTTCGAAATTTCGCGTCTCTGCGATTGTTTTTGTCACCGAATTACGACGTTGAAATAGTCCCGTTTTCCCGACATATTTTCTCTCGTTATTAAAGAAAACTGCACGCGTGTTTAACCATAGTTTTCCCTTTTGTACAAGGCTTGCTGAGTACACGGGTATTCTCGGGCATAAATAATGAATGGGCCAGCCCAACTCCCAAACTAGGTTATGTCCACCGCCTCAATCTAGTCCATTCCGAGAAAATACTAAGTGCACACAATCAATATTATGGGTCTGTATGACCCTCCCCCCGCAAAAAAAAAAAAAAAAAAAAAATACTCTAGCCATTTGTGTCTACGAGCGTATTATATTTTCATATTCAGTAATAAAATATACGGACCGTAAATATGTGTAGGTGTACCCAATTCTATAGTATTATACATTTTTTTTTTCCGACCGCACTGGCCTCGTATATGTTATGTCGCTCTCCTTCGCATTCATCCCAACTATTCAGGAGCGGCTACCCCAATTTATGTGTACACATGAATACAAAATTTTAAAATATTCATTATAATATACGGGTATAATAAATGGTATCAAAATTGATATTGAAATACAATCACTTTTAGTAAAAATAATTACATAGTTCGGTAAATTAATTTATACCATATAATAAAATATACAAAAATCAGATAACGCAGTAATGCGTATTTTTTTTTTTTTTTTTTTATATTTCATGCGGACAAGTTCATAAACTATTTACAAAAGAATCTATATCATAATTGTTTGTTAATGTTAACATGCGATTGATTGGTGAATAAAACATTAAAACTGTAGTAGCAGTGTTTGGTTGACAAAATCTGTATTACGTTTAATAATTTTAAAACTAATTATTGCTAATAATTCCGAACTATTTACATAATTATCGTGGTGGAGCGAAAAAGCTTATGGTTTGACCGTGCGCAACTTCGCGATCGGTGTGGTGAGGTACTTTAAGTAGATCATTTTTCGATTTTCTCAAGGGTTTTCTCGTCAAATTTGAAAAACTGAAAAAAAAATTGGAGGAAAACCGGGAAAATATAGTAGAAAAGTAGGTATAAGTTAAAATATATTACGGCCTTTTTTTTTTTTCTTGTGCACAACTTTTCTAAAAGCAATTTTACTCCGATTCACAATGGTAGCAGTTTTTCTAAAATAATATTTATGACTAGGGAGGTACTTGAGAGAGGTATTTTTCTTTGATTTTACCACTAGTTTTTCCAACGAATGGGAAACCTGGGAAAAACCGCGGGAAACCGTAGAAAAATAGGTGCAATATTGAACAAATATTTTTAAAGAAAATATTATGTTTTTCCCGTACACAATTTTTCAACCAGCAATTTTGCTCCAACTTTTAATGATAGCGATGTTTCTAAAACTAAATGTCACTATAGTGGTATTTTAGAGATGTAATTTTTCGATTTGTCTAAGAGTTTTATCAACGCGAGGCTTAAGCTTGATACGAAATTAAAGTTTTTTCTTGTTTTCGTGAATATTTTTCTTAATCGTACGTCATATACGTTGCATATTATGTAATAATATTACGTGCAAGTAAAGTATACGCGCATTTAAGTTGGGAAGTCTGCACGGGCTTATGGATTAAGTCGAACGACGAGGAGGAAGAGGAGGAAAACGAGTGTTACATAGACGGTAGATATCGAGAACGCCGGGCGGCTGAGACACTACAGGATTTCTAATATAGGGGGAAAGGGACAATAGAACTTCAGGTGACATTGTCGCCGTACGAAGAGGAGAAATTATATTGTTTTACATTGTGTTAAACGGATTTCGTTTTTTAAAAACAAGTAAAGTCAAGTAAAGTTTATTTGCACATACCTACCTACGTGTATTAAATAGTTAATTCACTTTCAGCAACATTTATAATATTGTTTAATATAATATACATATACCAATACGCAGTATCATAATACTGAATTGACCTAAAACGCACAATCACATTAAATGTGTTGGAAACGTTACCCACGTATGTTCGCTCGCCAGTTTTATTCGACAGTTGTCGTTAGTAAAAATAAAGCGATATGAAAAAATACACTTGAAGTATGAGCACACGAATTTGCCTAATTTTCTCGTACATGTATTTGCCTAATTTAGATTATGAGAGAAGTGCAGAATGTATTGGATTTATTGCGATGATGAAAATTATTGGTTATCCAATGATGTTTATTTTTATTTTTGATTTATACTGCGTATACAAATTCTACCGGAAATATTGTCCCGATATATCAAGTATAGCAATTATATACATCATTTATATACATATTGGTATGTTTTACGATTTCGTCTACTATATCCAAATCGATTATTTTCATGAATGAATGAATCAATTTCACTTTCAATATTTTTAGAATGAGAGGCGAGACCGGAAGAAGTTTTTATTATATTATGTTTTTTTAGTTTTTGAGTGCTTGGTGAACTCAGTTTCACGCCATTTACTAACCTTATCTTTTCCATTATAGTACAGTTCATCTGTGTACATTGCTTCTACATCTTCATCCGAAATATTCTGTTCCGAATCACTGTCAAAATTACCGTAAACAATATTTTCGTCACTGAGATCACTGTCACTATCAAAATCTTCAAAACTATCTCCTACTTCTTCGTCTGATAATTCTCGTAACATACGCGCAATACCGTCCATAATGAGGTGAAAAGAGCAATACACGAAAATAAATAAAAAGAAAAATATTTGTGTGGAAAAAAAAAAATAATATTATTACGACCGGGCGCGAGACGTATTTCGTGCGATCGGACGGAGTTGACTGAAATGCACATCAATAATAATTTGAAAAATACGTGAGATTAGATAACAACTATTGAGTGTTTATAACATATACGTCATTGTGGAATCGGAAACGTCCCAGTATTGATCGGGATACGTAGATAAAAGTTATGTCAATAAATCTATAATTGTCGTACAAAATGCGCATACGCGCCTGCTGAAAGGTTAACAATGGTTGATCGACTCGTACAGACGTACATCAGACTAACCCTCTGATTTTCCAACTTATTACCTACAACGGTGGCCCACCTATCGCGCAAAGTACGTTCGTCTTTTTTGTTTAAATTTGTCGTGTCCATAAACAAAATAATCTATCAGAATTCAACCAAAATCGTAACGGGAACTTTTACTTTTTTGCAGTTTTCGTAGAAAAAAAAAAAAAAATGGGAAAAAATTGTGTTATTCTACGGTGTAATATAAAACTGTATAAAACTTGAAGAATTTCTGTTGATTTCCGGGTTATCTATCGCAAAATCACGTCTAATAATAATACTCTGCGATCAAAATCGTTTTTCATTAGCAATGGTTTACCGTACGCGCCGGTATAACTCGAATGCATAAATAAAAAAATAAAAAAAAAATAAAAAAAAAAAAAGCGGGAAATGTCGAATTTCCGGACACCGCGGATTACCTACGCAGCAGTACTTTGCGGGTGCTCGTGTCGAACAGCCCGGGTTATCGATGCGGTCGAAACATTGCGCGAGCTTTTACGCGACGGTGTCGGACGCGGACGGTTTATTGGCGGCGCCACGAACAGGTCATACTCTCCGACCGGAAGTACACCGACGACGTGCGCCGCGGTTCTTTATTAAGCCATTGATCTCGGAAACTGCACGTTCGCCGAATTGAACCGCGGTCTCCGCGCGACAGTGACATAATGTGTGTGTGTGTGTGTGTGTGTGTGTGTGTGTGTGTGTGTGGGGCACCTTAGCCGTACATCGTTTTCATTTTATTTCCCGAAAGTGCCGATCAAAATGCAATCCTCCGCGCGCGAAACCCGCCGCGGGTCGGCCGACGGCGAAGGTTTTATTTTTTCCCTCGCCGCGTGGCCGGCCGGCTCCGACTCCGGCGCGCGGGAATTCGATCGCGCGGACTCCCAATATCACCGTGTACGGCCTCGTACAGTTATTGAGTGCGTCGTATTGAATATTTTTCGCGAAATTTATAATACGCGGGCAATTGTTTTCCGGTTTACTGTTTTCGTAGTGTACGGGTACATTGATAAGCCGTGTGCGTACAGAGTATTGGTCCGACACTTACGGTACCGTTCCCGTCGAACGGTGCACGGGACGTTGGTAAAAACAACGCGCCGTGCGAATAACGAACGTGCCGTTTCGCGAAACACGATTGTCAATTATACAATCAATCAAATTGTAAAATTATACAATTTGTTCGCGTTACAATACGCGATATATAATAAAATGGTAAATAACCGAATGACACCTCCTAGGTTTCCGTTGGCGTTTCTTTCAACAGTAATCGGCACTTAAACACACACGGCCGGCTAATTATATTTTATACTTTAAGCAGTTTTCAAAATTTAGGGAGGACCGTTTAAGGAGACGGATTTTACCTGTCCACGGCTAATTGTTCAAACATTTTAGCGCGCTTCTATTATTTATTTAAAACGGAACGCATTTGAATGGCACATATTTTTGGTTTTTTTTTTTTTTTATTATTATTATAAAAACACATTTTCGTTAAAGTTTCGACCTTTAAACGATTATGAAAAAAAAAAATTTACTACCTTGTGTTAAACTTTCTTTTTTTTTTACTAACTACATGATAAACCGCGTGTTAAAATTTCGAGCATTTTCGTCGTGCCAAAACAATTTTTATCGTAGAAAACAAACTCCAATTTTAAATAACTAGAACATTTCAAACGAATACAAATAACTGAACAATTCCCGGAATGCTTTGAAAGTTGTGCTGTGTCTGAAACGATCTGAATATAAAAGATTATAATAAATACGTTTTCAGTAAAATAGCTTTTATGAATATTTTTCATAGAATTACAATAAAAAAAAAAAAAAATCAAGTCGAATAAAACAGAAACTGTTATTTTGTTGATATTACAATTTTCTGTGTTTTTCGCCGTTATTAAAAATGTTATAAAGAAATAAATAAAATAATAAATAAATTCCTCATAGCATAAGCTCTACGAAATTGTTTACCAGAAACCATCACGTCTAAAATTGATGGCCGGAGTAAAATGTACTGAATTATTTATTTTTATGCTAAGTTAAGTTACACGCAAAAGGGTACGGTTATGGTGGTTATTATAATATCGTACAAGAGATTATACAATGTAATATTGAATATTTAAATAGAGGAGAAGAGATGGAATAAAAGAAACAAATAGATTAATGCGAGTTTAACTAGAGTTCTTTATTACAGTTTTAAGTAGCGAACCGAAAGAATAATCACATTAACGTACGTTAATTGTTAATTGTTATATGCATCTAAACAACGACACTCTGGATTATGTTTAATTATATTTGTCGAGCATCGTGGTGTTAAAAATATGCGATTATTTTTCGAATTAAAAGTTGGATTTTTGTAGTTTGTCTTCCTTAGAAAATCTGGGCGGGACAGTTTACCATTTATTAACTTATTGGACGAAAGCTAATAAGTCATTATATAATCTTCTAGAGGCCAGTAATTTTAAACCAAATATTATAGCAGAGATATCCAGGGGGACGTCCATTCGACTTATTTGTACGCCATCGTGCTTAACAAACCGTCGTTGGGATTTCTTTCAAATTTGTCAGTTATGTAATGTTGCTTAGAATAATTATGGAAATTATATTTAAAAATTGACGCAACTTAAAAAATTTTTAGTAACGGTAACGTTCCTCTACTATTTGTTTGAATTGGAACGTTCGAGTAAATATTTTTTTTCATTATGGTCAATAATTTTACCTTTAAACAATTGAATAAAAATAAATACTATGTAAAAATGACATTTTTTTATTTTTTTTTATCAATTATAGTAATTTGTAATTAACCATATTAAATTGGTAAGCATTTAAACTATTTGTTTATAGAGCTGATTTCTTTTAAGTCTTATAGTACTAAACATACATACTATGTTATAAACTTATAACATCCGTATAACGCTTAAAATTTAACATTTTAGGAACATCTCCATGAGCACTGAATAATATTATTATTTTTTATTATTACTTATTATAGGCAGTGGCGAACATTCATATTTTCATCTCAATCTCAGGGTGAGAGGGGAGGGGATAAATTAGAAAAATTGTTTTCTTTATAATCAAACACATATGGACACTCTAATATTACTCTAATAGTACGATGAAATGTGTAAATTGACGATACAATATAATGACTAGAGTATGGGTTTTAAAGCAATAAAAACTAAATAAAACAATAAAGCTGTATAAATCTTCCAAAAAAGCAATAAAAATGGGTTTTTTTTTAAAAAAAATAGAGCATATTTTTGTGTTTATTGTCGTTTCAAGATAAATTAATCCACTGTATACTATACGATATGTGAATCGCATAATCTAAACTTTTTCGAGAAATATAATAAAAATATATAAAAAATCAAACATAGCGAGATAAAATCGATCGGGTCAGCCATGACCTTCGAACGCATTATATAGTACAAAAATAAATATTGACATTTTAAATATGTTTATTTAGAACGCATTACGAAAAAAACGTAACTTAAAAACAAAAACAAAAAATTATCCAAAATACCCAAAAAAACCGTTAATATACACGCAAAAACACAAAAAAAATCAAAATAAAATGTCGGGCGTTTTATTCTAATGTAGTATGATTCGTGTTTGTAGCTGACATAGCTTCGTTTCAGAACCGTAGAAAAAACAAACAATCGTCTTCGAAATCCGTACTCTAATAATGACCGTTGGATTATGAGGGTAATTAATAAAACAAAATATTTTATGATTAAATATTATTTATAAAGTGGGTATATCGCCTCGTATACGACGGGCATTTTATGTAACGTCCGGTGTGCCAGACAAATCTGACGTCAGGCGAATGTGACTGCAGTGAGTTAAACTAGCCCAACGTCATACGTATTCGCCCGTCAGGGCAGGCAAATTCGACGTCGAGCAAATCCGACTTCGCGGCGGTTGAATTTTTCTTTTTTATTTATGTGTATGTTTTAAATTATTTACATCCAATTGTTTTTTTTTTTTTTATATATATATTTTCTTACTTATTGATTTCACCATTTTTATCATTTAATGCATATTTTTTATTACTGAAAATTAGAACCTACGATTATTGATTAATGAAAACCACTACGAATATAAATTATTTACATTAATGTTATTATATATATTATATATAATTATATATACTCTGTATATAATTTCAATTGATAGCATAATTCAATATTACAGTATACAGGGTGCCGATCAATGTTATCCGTGTGCTAAGACGCCGTAAAAATTAATTTTTTTTTTAAGAAATCACAATCGCAAAACGGTAATTCCTTGTCCCGACGGTAGTTTATAAAGAATAAAATAATAAAATAAAAATAAAATTATTAAAATGTTTAACACTCATTAATAAATATAGTAAATAAGTATATAAATAAACGATTTATGTATGAAAATTAATTATGATGAATGTATGATAACCGTATCATAACACAACGCAATGATGTATACGATACTATTGAGTTTAACTACATTGTCACCAAAAATCAATAAAAAATAAATAAATAGAAATTATAATTTTAATGCATGAACCATAGTTATAAGATAGAAAGAAAAGTCAAGGGGGGATACGTTTGGGAAATTTGACGGTAAATTACTAACTCTTCCGGTAGATACACCTTTAAATACATAAATGCACGTCAA